TTAAAATATATCATCTAGAACTAGAATGACTTACAACTAGGATACACAACTATGTACTGGGGCTTTGGAGAGAAAAGAAAAAAAGAAAGATATTTAATAAGGTCTTCAAATAGAAAGGAATAAGATTAAGGATATCCTAATGCCTGGAGACTTGAAACAAATGATTTCAAGAAAGGGTCAAAATATTCATGGAGAAATAACCATCAACATTTGACTGTTAAAGCCTACACTAAATAAATTATGATGTGATGTTGAAGTCATAATAACAATTCTTTTACTTTTTATTTTGAAATAATTTCAAAACTAGAGAAAACATGCAGTTATAGCACAAAAAAAAAATCCTACATACCTTTCCCCAGATTCACCAACTGGTAACATTTTGCCACATTTGCTGCAAATATAATGATTTGAAAATAAATTGTAGCTATACTGGGGCCAGGCCAGTGGCCGAGTGGTTAAGTTTGTGTGCTCCGCTGCAACGGCCCAGGGTTTTGCCGGTTCGAATCCTGGGCGCGGACATGGCAGGGCTCATCAGGCCATGCTGAGGCGGCATCCCATGTGCCACAACTAGAAGGACCCACAACTAAGAATATACAACTATGTACCAGGGAGCTTTGGGAGAAAAAGGAAAAAAATAAAATCTTTAAAAAGAAATTGTAGATATCTCTGCCCCATTGCTAATAAAAATTTTAGTGTCTGTTTCCAAAGAACAAGGACGTTTTCTTTCATACTCAGAGCACAATAATCAAAATCAGGAAAACTAACACTGACTCAATACTATTGTCCCTATTCAAATGTCCCAAATTGCCACAATAATATTATTTATAGGCATTTTCTTCCTTTCCAGGATCTAATCCACGAACATGCATTGCATTCATATGTCACATTTCTTTAGTCTCCTTTAATCTGGAACACTTCCTCAGATTTTATTTCTCTTTAATAACCTTGATATCTTTGTAGAGGACCGGCCATTTGTTTTATGGAAAGTCCTAGAACTTGGGTTTATCCAAAGTCTCCCCATGATTAGATTCAGGTTATGCATTTCTGGTAGGAATATTGCAGCAGTGATGTTGCGTCCTTCTCAGAGCATCACATCAGGAAGCCCATTGTGGGTGACGTCAACTTGATCACTGGGTTAAGGCAGTGTCTGCCAGGTATTTCCAGCATAAAGTTACTGTTGTCCATTACAATTGAGATGGAACTACTTGAGGGGAGAGACTTTGAAACTATGTAACTACTAACTACTTTGTTCTTCAATAAAATCTCACTCAATAGTTTAGCCTTCCTTGATGATTCCTGTCTGTATCAATTATCACTACTATGGTTTCAAGACAATGATTTTTCAAACTCCATTCTTTCTTTTACATTTACTAGTTGGCATTCCATAGTAAAGAATAGCTTTCCCCTCTCTCCTTGCCTCCAATTATTTATTTACATGTCCATTTAATATCTGCATGGATTAATGGATTCTAATTTAAATCATTGGGTTATGATAGAGGGATTGATATTTAATTCTTGATTCTGTCACTTACTTGCTTGTGTAAACTTGGACAGGTTACCAAAACTCTATCTGCCTTAGTGTCCTCATGTGTAAAAGAAAAAGAGAAAAGCTATTTTGTAGAGTTCTTCTGAAGGTCACCTATGACAGATTCTCAGAGACTTGTGGACAATATACAAGCAATCACACCTATATGTAATTTGAATCCCAAAGGAAAAAGAGGGAACAGGACAGAAAAAACATATAAAGAGTTAGGCTCAAAGCTTTCCAAAATTTGGAAGTAGCTATGAATTTATAGATTCAAAAACCTTGGTGAACTCCCAGCAGGAAATATGTAAATAAAACTACATCTAGTAAAACTGACAAAAACCAAAGAAAAACAGAAAATCCTGAGAGCAATGAGATAAAATGACACATTACATACAAGACAACAGTTATAAGAATGACCGGTAAATGTGGTTCTAATATCATCAGAAACAATGGAGGTCAGAAAACAATGAAATGACATTTTAAAGACCATAAGAAAATAACCTGTTAACTCAGAATTCTACACCAGTAAAAATATTCTTCAGGAAAGAAAAGATATTTTCAGATAAAATAAAACTAACATAGCTTGTTTCAAACAGGACTGCACTAAAAAAACACTAAAAGGATTTCTTCTGGTTGAAAGATGTCATACCAGTTGGAAGCTTCAATCTTCAGGTGGGAATGCACAGCTCTGAAAAAGATAAATACATGGGGAAAAAGAAAATATTCTCTTTTTTTTATTTTAGTTTCCTTAAGATACAAAAAAAAAAAAACCATACACACACTATCAACTACCTTGACCTAATTGACATTCACGGAACACTATACCCAGAAACCACAGAATACACATATTTTTTAAGTGCTTACAGTCCATTTAATAAGTATGTTGAGACATAAAACAAGTAACAATAAATTTCATTGATATAAATCATACAGAGTATGTTTTCTGGCCAAAATTAATTTTGTTAGAAATAAATAACAAGATATCTTGGAAATAAAACAAGTATTTGAAAATTTATAACACCCTTCTAAAAAACCCATGGACGAAAGAAGATAACACAAGGAAAATTAGAAGACATTTTCAACTGAATGACAACAAAAATATATCTGTCAAAAATTATGAGATACTATTTTAAGACTTTCTATAACTATACAGCAATTAAGACAGTATAATATAGAAAAAAGGGTAGAACACAGACCAATAGAACAGAATGGAGATGCCAGAAATAGAGCTATGCAAATATAGTCTGTTGATGTTGAATACAGGTGCAAAGGTCATCAGAGAAGAAGGGATACTCTTTGTAACAAATGGCCCTGAGATAATTGGACATCCACATACAAAAATAATAGTAATAATAACCTAAACAATACTTCCTTACCTATAAAATATTAACTCAAAATTAATCATAGATCTAAATGTAAAATGAAAAGCCACAAAAATTCTAGGAGAAACTCTGACTTTGGGTTTGGTGTAAGTTTTTAGATAAAACATCAAAAGCCCAAGCCATGAGAAAAAAATTATACCTTGGACTTTATCAAAATTTAAAATTTTTGCTCTACAAAAGACACTATTAATAGAATGAAAAGATAAGACACAGACTTAGAGAAAATGTTTGGAAGTCACATGTACGATAAAGGACTTACGGCCAAAATATACATAGAAAATTAACACTCAACATTTGAAAACAAAAAATTCCCAATAAGACACTGAAAGACCAATCTTCAGCAAAGAAGATATATGGGTGGCAAATAAACACATGGAAAGCTGCTTCATATCATATGTCATTAGGAAAATACAAATTAAAGCCACAATGAGATCCTACCACACAACTAGAATAGCTAAAAAAAGAAAATTTCATGCCAATAAAATTGCTAGCAAGGACACAGAGCACCAGGAACTCTCATTCATTGCTGACGAGAATGAAAAAGGGTAAAGCCAATTTGCAAGACAGGAAGTTTGTCATAAAGTTAAACATCCACCTACCATGCAGTCCAGCAATCGCACTGCTAGATATTTACCCCAGTGAATTGAACACTTATTTCCACAGAACAACTGCAGTGAATGTTTACAGCAACTTTATTCATAACCATTAAAAACTGTAAACAATCAAGATACCCTTCCAGAGTGGGAGGATAAACAAGGGCAGTACACCATAAACTGGAATACTTTTCAGTGATCAAAAGAAAATGAACTATTCATGCAGGCAGCCACCTGGATGAACTTTGTTTGGTTGGTTGGTTTGGTTTGGATTTATTAAGCGTTTTTTTTTTACCACCGAAATGGTTTTATTTTTGTCACTGACAACACGTACAACACTGATTTTATCATTGCTTCGTTCGGTTTCCTTAAATATTACTTAAGCATGCATTAAAAATATAGGTTTACATTTCAGAAATGTAACACATTAAAGTCCTCTGTAAACATAACTCCTTCTCAATATATTTTCCTGCTTTGTTTCATACATAAATAACTTAATCTACAAAGTCATAAATAAAAATATTCTTATGGCCTAAGAGTAAATGCAAGTTGTGGAGCCTGACAAAAGTGTTCTCTCTACGATTTTATAAATAACAACATGCAGGGGCTGGCCCCGAGGCCGAGTGCTCTGCTTCGGCGGCCCAGGGTTTCGCCGGTTCGGATCCCGGGTGTGGACACGGCATTGCTCATCAGGCCATGCTGAGGCAGCGTCCCACATAGCACAACCAGAAGGACCTACAACTAGAATATGCAACTATGTACTGGGGGTCTTTGGGCAGAAGAAGGAAAAACAAAATAAGATTGGCAATAGATGTTAGCTCAGGTGCCAATCTTTAAAAAAAATAACATGCAGTATTTTCAGTGTTTACGATCAAACAAATAAGATCACAAGTGATTACTGTCTGCCAACCAATCCCGTCAATAATAAACCTTCCAGTGCACTTGGTAAAGATGCCATGTATTTAAAAGTCAAAATAGTCAAAAGACTAGATTTTTAAAAACGGCAGTACAGAAGGTTGCCATTTAAACCTTACTAAGCCTTTTAAAACCACTTCAATTTGTCAACAAAAAATGCTACTAAAGAGTGAATGCTTGTACTGTTATTTAAACAGAAGCTAACGAAGTCTAAAATTTAAGAAGCAAAATCAGATTAACTTGGTATTAGTCTTGGGACAAATATTCCGTTGAAAGTCTCTTACAGGAACAGAATCAATACTATCGTAAATTTTCTATCATTTATTTTGAACCATAACTTTAACTAGTTAAAACTTTAAGGGTTAAAATAATTCCACACAAAAATCATCTCAGAAAGACATACTTATAATTCTTGATTCAGAACATCTCATTATTTTTGTTTAATGACTTGTAATCTTTATTCCTTCAGAAAATATTAAAATACTTGTTGAAAGACACCTCCTATTCAGTGACTTATTAGATAACCACTCAGGATGTACTAGGGAAGCACTTAATTTTTATGTAATAAAAGTAAAAAAGGAATTTTGCATGTTGGAAATGTTTCCTTTTATGTTTTTTAGGCCATCATTTACAGAGTACAAAACTTAGAAAGAAAAACATTCTCAATTAATATTCTCATTAAATTTAAATGATTCAAATGATAAATACGAAGCTAATAAGATAGTCATTACTTTTAAAATCTAAGTTTCGCAAAGTTCTATTTTGAAATCAATACAGAAACAATCTGGTTCTCACTAATAACTGCCAAACTCTGGGTTTAAAAAACTCAATATTCTTCGTTAAAGAGCAGATTACGACATGTTTTCGATGCTCTTATAAAAAACAAGATTCTGATATACGTAGTGCATCTAAACCAAATTCACAAACGGTGGCTGAAATTTTGTCAACTTTCAGCCCCACGCAACATAAATCCACAGTTATTATGCATAAACAATTCAAAATGAAAGTTTATAATGGAAATGTCAACGAGTCATTACTACATTTCTACTCATGGGTTCCACTGTACTTCAACCAGGCACAGGAGACGTGCACAACTGATGGACAGACTGCTTAGAAAATTAGAGCTATCAGAGCTATAAATAAGGAACACATCAGTATGAACAGAGCAATGCCGACGCACTAGAGCTGTTAAAAAAAAACTAAGATGTGACATAAACACATCTGATAGTTCTCGCTGTAAGCCACTTTCCACTGATTTATAAGGCTATGGTTTTATAATTCTTTTAAAAAAGGAAAATGTTTCTACACTGCTGCATGCAGCAATTTCACTGTACATTCTTGACTCCAATGCAATCTTCAAATCTTCCTGCAGAGCTTGATATAGCTCATCAGGATTTCTCCAGAAAGTCAGCTTGTCATATTTTCAGCAGCCTTGAGTGCTTCAGTGGCCTTGCGAAGTTCCTTAATAACTGATGATAAAGTTTCTGGGTTAATTCCTTGTTCACAAAGCCGTACACAAATAGACAGAGTTTCCATATCTAAGCCAGTATTCAAAATTCTTGAAATCTCCAGCAGAACGTCCATGGTCTCCATCACCACATTCGGATTCGCCACCGCAGCCCCCGCCACTGTCCCGCAGCCGCTACTATTCGCCATGGCGGAGGCCGAGGGAGATGGGAGAAGGCCCTGACCTGGAACTCTATTAAGACTTTTTTTTTTTTTTTTTTTTTTTTTTTAAAGATTTTATTTTTTCCTTTTTCTCCCCAAAGTCCCCCGGTACATAGTTGTGTATTCTTCGTTGTGGGTTCTTCTAGTTGTGGCATGTGGGACGCTGCCTCAGCGTGGTCTGATGAGCAGTGCCATGTCCGCGCCCAGGATTCGAACCAACGAATCACTGGGCCGCCCGCAGCGGAGCGCGCGAACTCAACCACTCGGCCACGGGGCCAGCCCCTATTAAGACTTTTTTAACAGCAGTTTTAGGTTCACAGCAAAATTAAGAGGCAGGTACAGAGATTGCCCATGTACCCTCTGCGCCTACACTGCACAGCTTCTCCTACTATCAACATCCCTCACCAGAGTGGGGCCAGGTGTAACAATTGATGAACCTATATGGACACATCATATTCACCCAAAGCCCATAGTTTACATTAGGGTTGATTTTTGGCGTTGTACATTCTATGGGTTTGGACAAATATGTAATGACATAGATCCATCATTGTGATATCATATAGAGTATTTTCTCTGCCCTAAAAATCCTCTGTGCTCCACCAACTAAACCCTACCCTCTAGCCTAACCTCTGGCAAACACTGATCTTTCTACTGTCTTCATAGTTTTTCCATTTCCAGGAAATCATATAGTTGGAATCATGCAGTGTGTAGCCTTTTCAGATTGGCTTTTTTCACTGAGTGATATGCATTTAAGGTTCCTCCATGTCTTTTCATGGTCTAATAGCTCATTTCTTTTTAGTGCCAAATAACATCCCACTGTCTGGATGTACCATAGTCTATTTATTCATTCTCCTACACCATGGATGCTTCAAAGTTTTGGCAGTTATGAATAAAGCTGCTATCAACATTTGTGTACAAGTTTTTATGTGGACATAAGTTTTCAGCCCCTTTCGGTAAATACCAAGGAGTGTGATTGCTAGATTGTATGGTAACAGTATGTTTAGTTTTGTAAGAAACCACCAACTGTCTTCCAATGTAGCTACACCATGTTGCATTCCCACCAGCAGTGAATGAGAATTCCTGTTGCTCCACATCTTCACCAGCATTCGGTTTTGTCAATGTTCTGGATTTTGGCCATTCTAATAGGTGTGTAGTGATACCTCATTGTTGTTTTAATTTGCATTTCCTTGAACATATGATGCGGAGTATCTTTTCATATGCTTATTTGCCACCTGTATATCTCCCTTGATGAGGTATCACTGATAGGTACCCTTGACCCATTTTTCAATTGAATTGTTTGTTTTCTTACAATTGAGTTTTAAGACTTCTTTGTATATTGTGGATAACAGACCTTTATTAGAAGTATCTTTTGCAAATAGTTTTGACATTCTGTGGCTTGTCTTCTCATTCTCTTGACGTTGTCTTTTACAGAGCAGAAGCTTTTAATTTTAATGAAGTCCAGCTTATCAATTATGTCTTTTGTGGATTGTGCCTTTGGTATTGTGTCTAAGAAGTTATCACCACGTCCAACGTCATCTAGGTTTTCCCCTATGTTATCTTCTAGGGGTTTTATCGTTTTGAGTTTTAAATTTAGGACAATAACTCAAAAAATTAATTTTGAGTTAACTTTTGTGAAGGTGTAAGATCTATGTCTAGATTCATTTTCTTGCATGTGGACATCAACCAGTTGTTCCAGCACAATTTGTTGAAAAGACTATATTCGCTCCATTGTATTGCCTTTGCTACTTGTAAGAGATCAGTAGACTATATTTATGTGTGTCTACTCTGTTCCATTGATCAGTTTTCTATTATTTCACCAATGCCACACTGCCTTGATTACTGTAGCTTTATAATAAGTCTTGAAGTTAGGTAGTGTCAGTCCTCCAAATTCGTTCTTCTCCTTCAATGTTGTGTTGGCTATTAGTTTCTTTTGCCTCTCCATATAGTCTTTAGAATGATTTTTGTTGATACCTACAAAATAACGTCCTGGGATTTTGACTGGGATTGCAGTGAATCTATAGGTCAATTTGGGAAGAACTGACATTGTGACAAAATTGGGAATATTGACATCTTCCAATTCGTGTACATGGAATATTTCTCCATTTATTTAGTTCCTCTTTGACTTCTATCATCAGAGTCTTGTATTTTTTCTCACACAGGTCACATTTATATGTTGTTAGATTTATACCTAAGTATTTCATTTCGAGGGGATGCTAGTGTTGTGTTTTTAATTTCAAATTCCACTTGTTCATACTGCTCTAAAGGAAAACAATTCACTTTTATATACAGAAATCAGCTGTATTTCTATACACCAAAAATAAAATGTCTGAAAATAAATGAAGTAATCCAATTTACAATAGGAAGTGAAAGATCTGTACACTGAAAACTATAAGATTTTGATGAAAAAAAGTAGAAGAAGTCACAAATAAATGGAAAGACATCCCATATTCCTGGATTGTAAGAATTAATAGTGTTAAAAAGTCCATATTACCCAAAGGAATCTACAGATTCAATGTAATCCCTGCCAAAATTCTATTCACAAAAATAGAACAAACAATCCTAAAATTTGTATGGAACCTCAAAAGACATCAAATAGTCAAAGCAATCCTGAGAAAAAAGAACAAAGCTGTAGGCATCACACTTCCTGATTTCAAACTATATTAAAAAGCTACCGTAATCAAAACAGTATGGGACTCGCATAACAAAGGACATATCGACCAATGGACAGAATCAAGAGCCCAGAAATAAGCCATCACATACTTATACAGCCAAATAATATTTGATAAGGGAGCCGAGAATGCTTTATGGAGGAAAGGATAGTCTCTCTAATAAATAATGCTGCAAACCTGAATAGTCATATGCAGAAGAATAAAATTGGATTCCTACCACACACCACCCACAAAAATTAATTCAAAATGGATGAAAGACTTAAATATAAGACTTGAAATCATAAAACTCCTAGAAGAAAACATAGAGAAAAAGTTTCTTGACATTGGTCTTGGCAATGATCTTTTGGATATGACACCAAAAGCAAAAATAAATAAGTGGGACTGCCTCAAACTAAAGTTTCTGCACAGCAAAAGAAACAATCAACAAAATGAAGGTTGAAATGACAACCTATAGAATGGGAGAGAATATTTGGAAACCATTTATCCAATAAGGGGTTAATATCCAAAATATATAAAGAACACATACAAATGAATAGCAAAAAGAAAAAAAAATCAGATTAGAAAATTGGCAGAGGACTTGAATAGACATTTTTCCAAAGAGGATGTACAAATGGCCAACAGGTATTTGAAAAGACATTTGAAGTCACTAATCATCAAGGAAATGCAGATCAAAACCACAATGACCTATCACCTCACACCTGTTACAATGGCTACTGTCAAAAAGAGAGGAGATAAGACTGGGTGTGGATGTGGAGAAAAGGGAACCCTTGTGCACTGTTGATGAGATTATAAATTGGTACAGCTACTATGGAAAATAGTATGGAGGTCCCTCAAAAAATTAAAAACAGAACTAACATATGATCCAGCAGTCCCACTTCTGGGTATATATCTGAAGGAAATGAAATAAGGATCTCAAAGAGATTTCTACACTCCCATGTTCATTGCAACATTATTCACGATAGCCAACATATGGAAACAGTCTAAGTGTCCCTCTGTGGATGAGTGAATAAAGATGTGGCATATATACAAAAGAATATTATTCAGCCACAAGAAAGAAGGAACTCCTGCCATTTGTGACAACGTGGACAGACCTTGAGGGAATTATGCTGAATGAAATGACATACAGAGAAAGACAAAAACTTTATGATTTCACTTCCACGTGGAATCTAAAAAAGCCAAACTCATAGAAACAGAGAGTAGAATGGTGGTTGCCAGGGGCTGGGAGGGTGGGAGATTGGGGAAATGTTGGTGAAGGGCACAAAATTCCAGTTAGAAGATGAATAAGTTCTGAGGATCTAATGTGCAGCAAGGTGATTATAGTTCACAATACTGTATTATATACGTGAAAGTTGCTAAGAGAGTAAATTAAATGTTCTCTCTGCCAAAAACAATAAAATAGTAATTATGTCAGGTGATGAAGGTGTTAACTAACGCTATTGTGGTAATCATTTTGCAACATATACATGTATCAAATTATCGTGTTGTACACCTTAAACTCACAGGATATTATGTCAGTTATATTTCAATAAAGCTGGGAAAAAAGATATCTCTTCTAAGATGAAGGATAAGTTGTTGCATTTGGTCCCTCCTACAATCAAAAGGAGCACAATGCCTAGTGGGCCTATTTGCATTTGGAAGGCAATGTATTTCTTATTTGGGTGTGTTATTCTGGCCCATTTATGGAGTGACCTGACAAGCTGGTAGTTTTGAGTGGGGCCCAGAACAAGAGAAGATTCTGCAATAGGTCCAGGCTGCTAAGAAAGCTGCTCTGTTGCTTGGACCATATGATCCAGCAGATCCAATGGCGCTTGAAGTGTCAGTAGCAGATACAGATGCTGCTTGGAGCCTTTGGCAGGCCCCTATGGGTGAAGCACAGTGCAGGCCCTTAGGATCTCGGAGCAAAGCCCTGCCATCCTCTACAAATAAATACTCTCCTCTTGAGAAACATCTCTTGGCCAGCTACCGTGCCTTAGTAGAAACTGAACAGAGAATCATGGGCCACCAATTTATTATGCGACCTGAGTTACCCATCATGAACTAGGTATTATCTGACCCACCAAATCATAAAGTCAGGCATATATGGTAGCACTCTACCATCAAATGGAAGTGGTATATACATGAGCAGGCTTGACCAGGCCCTGAGGGCACACGTAAGTTACAGGAAGTAGTGCTCCAAATGGCCATGGTCCCCTCTACCTTCTACAGTCCAGCTACACTACCTTCTCTCTCCAAGCCTGCACCTATAGCTTGATGGGGAGTTTCCTACAATCAGTTGACAGAGGAAGAGAAGACTCAGGCCTGGTTTATAGATCACCCTGCACAATAAGCAGACACCACCTGAAAGTGGACAGCTATAGCACTATAACTCCATT